CTGCTCATAAATTATCTTCAATGCAGACACGTCTTCAGAGTTTCTCCTTGAAGGTCATTTCGCTTTCCCAGAGAATGTTCTAAACAAAGTTTGAACAGTTTCCTAGCAGAGGCTTACATTTATCTAGTGGCAAACTATAGGAAGCCTTAGACTATTTTTTTCTTACATTAAGGATTTCAGGTAACAGAGGCATAATTCCACTCTATCCTTAGAAGCTGGAAGAATGTTTGGGAGGACAGATTCTTTCTTCTCCCGTAAATTAACACCATGGTTAGGTTCCTGTAACTCGGTAAGCTTGTCTTACATGGGACTCAGCTGAGGGTAAGGAGACTGATTGATGGAAAGATTTCTTGGGACCTACTTCTCCGTGTTCCTCTTGATTGCCATTCCAGAACTTCTGCAGATGGCAAAATTGCTTAGAAAAAGGAAGCCAGGCCTTTTAAGAGCTGGCAGAGGAGCAGAACACAGCAGGTTATTCTCCTAGCTCAGGGAGTGTGTGCAGAGTGGGGCCTGAATCATGCTCAGGACACTCATGAGCTGAATAATCTCAGGCAAACTGTTCACCCTCTCTGTGCCTCAGTTTCTCCTACACAAAATAGGGAAATAGGAGTTACTGCTTCGTAGGGAAGTGAGGGTTAAGTGATTTTAAAGTCCCTAGGACATGGAGCATGAGATAGGAGCCACATAAGTCTTAGCTGCTGCTGCTACTATTGCTATATATATTATTAGTGGACACCCAGTTAAGTTTGTTGAACGAATAAATGAATGACTGTTGCCACTCTGCTGTGCCCTAGATTTTCCCTTTTGTATAAGTTTCTATGATTTTTCAGCTTCTTGGCTCCACTTATCTTGGTTTTTTAGGACCCCATTTAGAGCTACTGGACTCTTGTAGCATTGAGCTGAATTTTTATCCATATACATATTTCGATGGCTCACCCGCTGGCCTTCCAGAGCCCCGGGTTAAGATCTTCCTGTCCCTTTTGACCTTGGTTCTTTAAATAGAACTAGTCCATCCACGAGAGGAGTAAGAGCTCACCACGCACCTTTTCCTGCTCCTTGTTCCGACTCCCCTCTGGCTGGCAGGCTGTTCCTGGTTGTCTCCCTGCCTGGATCTCTCATCATCTGCCTTCATCAGTGGGTCATTAATATGCATTTCTTCAGTTTGCAGGATTTTATCTGCTCTGCTCACACTTCCACTTGGGTCTTTTCAGCTCATTTCCACCTGCAAGATGTAGGTGCTATATCTGCCCATGCCTTCCCGGGTGACCCATACCAGACGGATTCACTGCCAAGAGCCCTTAGATGCAGACCGGGGGCCACCCTCCCAACGCCCAAGGCCCGTGCAGTCTGACTGGCCCCCGCTCCATCTTGACGAGCTTTATCTGGAGCCTCCATCAGCTTAGAGACACAATCAACAAGACACATCTGTTTTGTATTTCTATCTTAGCTTCTTAATATTTCATTGTGTTTATCTATTTTTCTTCTTATATTAAAAGTATTTTTATGGAGGAACTGGATGTTTTGTGTTATACAGGTGACAGAGCTCGGGCATGTCTGTCCCGGTCTGTGGACTAAGTTCTTGACCTATATCTTGCTTTTGAGGATTCGGGGTCTGTTGCTAGAAATGCCAGGAGGGGGTCATGTGACCTCTGGGGTTGTCTTGCCTGGCTCTGTATCAGCCCACTCAACAGCTGCCTGAGAGCTCTTTTGCTCCTGGGTTTTGGCTGCGTAATGACACTGCATTGGCCTAGGTGACGAAAGGCTTTGATTGAGGTTTCAATCCCTTGGATGATGTATTTAGGTCTTTGGGGTCCAGTTTTCTGATTTGTAAGAGTAGGGCAAAAAAACAATACCTTTGAGAATTCTCTGAGGATTTAATGCAATAATTCTGATCATATACACAGCAGGTCCATAGGACTTTGTATAAATTAGAAACAGGTGCTCCTGCCTCCAGGCACACACAGCCCATGCCAGGATGTGCCTGTGGGCGGAGGGCAGGCTGATCTCCCCGCCCCACTCTTGGCTGGAGGAATGACCTGACACAGGCCACGCTTAGTGAAAATGTATGCAGAGATCCTGAGATCTTCCTTCCCATTGAAAATATTGTGTTAAAAGACATATGACATAAAATTACCATCTTAACCATTTTAAGTGTATAGTTCTTTGGTCTTAATTATGTTCATAATATTACGCAACCATCACCACCGTCCATCTCCATAACTCTTTTAATCTTTTTTAAAACTAAAATTCTGGGCTGGGGCTCAGTGGCAGCACACTTGCCTGGTATGTGTGAGGCATTGGGTTCGGTTCTCAGCACCACATATGAATAAATAAAATAAATAAAGGTCTATCAACAATTAAAAAAAATTTAAAAACCCCCAAACAAACAAAAAACCTAAAATTCTACCTCAAAACAGTAACTCCCATTTCTCCATCCTACCAACCCATCATCCTATTTTCTGTATGGATACCCCATAACTTCTGAAGTTTAGTTTGCAATGATAAAATATTATATGCATACATATGAGTAATTATTACTAGTTATAAGATCTAGCATCTCTATCTATCATCTCTATGCATCTATCATCTGTCATTTATTGTCTCTCTGTGTTTAGTCATTCTCTCTCTTTCCATGGAGGATTTGAGGTGGCATTGATAACAAAACCACAGCTAATGTTTGCCCAACTCTCTTCTTTTGGCCTAGATTACTTTATTTAGTCTTCATAATGGTCCTACGAGAAGGTTATCCCATCTCTCATTTACAGATGAGTGACTGGGTCTCAGACACTTAGTCATAAATGGTGGAGCTAGGACTGGAACCCAGATTTTCTGACTTAAATCTGTGTTCTTCTACCAAGATGATGCCATCTAATCAGCCTACCACTGTGATTAAATACTGTATGAGAACTGTTTTTCTTATTTTCTGTATTGCATTTCAAAATTGGAGCTGCTTTTCAGCAACTGAAAGTAAACAGAAATCAACATGTATTATTACAAGCACAATGGGGACACGCAGAGACGGTCTTCTCTGTGTTGGTGTACTGACTGTCACTGTTGGAAAATTTAATTTAATTTATATGTGAGAGAAACAGCTCATTCAACTGAAGGGATGTAGATTTCATAGAAATGAGCTATGTTCAAAGGGACTCAGGTGGCCAGGGGAAAGGGAGATGGGGACAGCATTAATACCTGCAGCTTAGGTAATCACTCACCATCGTTTATTGTGGCTGCTGTCTATTGTCACATAAATAGATCATGTTCCATCGAGTACAGGGGGGATTTCCCTAAGCAGCACGATTGCTAAACACAATTGGATTTTAGATAAATCTCCCATATCCGTTTCATATCACCCTTTGTTACAGGATTTCAAAATGCTCGTGGAACACGAAGGAAATGAAATGATTTCTAACTCTCATTAAAAAAGCAGGGGTTCTACATCGATGGTCATGAGAAATATGAAGGGGGAGAGATTTTGAAATGTCATGTGATGCCACTTGGGACCACAACTCTGGGCTTTGGAAATCACCCGCCAACCTCTGAACATTTCCTTGAGAAGATGCTGTTCCTTGGTTGCTTCTCTGGTCATTCATGTCGTTCCAATAACATTTTTATTGTTCAGAGTCAACATTGCATTTTTTCTTCCAGGGCTACCAGATTTGGAAAACCTCATGAAGTAAACTGGAACTATGTTCAAAGGGACTCAGATAGCCAGGGGAAAGGGACTACAGGCCTTCAGGAATTTTTCCAGAGGTATAAAGTCTTGGAAGCCATTTCTTCCCTGAAAAGTGCCAAAGTCATGGGACACTCAGAACAAAAGGACCCTGCGGCCGGGGGGACAGATGTTGAGCTATAAGAAAGGAACTGATCCTTCCTCATATCCTTTATCAGGAATCAGGACAAACACACACAACCTAGTCTAAATTTGTCAGCCGTGTCTTGGGAGACATCATTTGATTGATGGTGACACTGAATCTAGCTTACAGAGAGCAAGAGAGCCCATATGGTGCTGGGTGTTTTGGCAAGAAATGTGATTTATGTAGGAACTTATGGTTTTAAATTCAGCCATGGAGTGATTTTAAGGATATAAAGGAGCTTTAGGTGAGTCCAACACAGTGTAGTCTAATATTTTTGTTTTCAATGAAGAAATTGCCCCAGGGTCCTTATAATCCGTTAGTGCCGATTCTGAGAACTTTTACGGTTATCTTGCCCTTCACTCACCACCCAATCTGCTACTTCCTTTGTTTTTCAAGTTGGGACAAACATTTTCCTTTAAGAAAATAGTAGATGAAATTTACTTTATGACTTTAGAAACGATGTCAGCACTGTCACTTCTTGTTGTTTCATCTAACCTTCTCGAGAACCTGTGGCCCAAGGATATTACTGTTGTGACCGCCTCTTACAGAGGAGGAACCAGGGCTTCAGAGGAGATCCACACTGCACACCCCATCACAGCCAGAGTCTGGAGGATCTCATCTCAGAGAGGCACCCGGAGCCACCACCGGAAACCAGTGCCCTCCACTGTGGTCTCTGCGTAGGGAGTTCCTGTCGAACACGGTTGGTCCAGCTGATGGAGCCGGGGGAGACAACAAACTCGGCACTGTCCAGCCCAGCACTGTCTTCCTCTCTCTTTCCCACACTCCTTTTCCTGCCATGGTGGCCTTTCCCACCTGGAGCAGCCCGCATGTGGATGAAGTGTTCTACCAGGGCTTCAGCTGGACGGATCCTTCTTGTTTTATTTTTACCTTTGATTATAAAGGTGCTTAGGGCACAGACTTTTTACTGTTTGTTTAGTGCAATCTTATTTATTGTATAAGGTCATGTATACTTTTGACATACACATAAATACTAAAATAACCAACCATATGACTCATGTAGTCTTGTGTGTGTGTGTGTGTGTGTGTGTGTGTGTGTGTTACTGGGTATGGAACCCAGAGCCTCATGCATGCTAGTCACGCACTCTATACCCTGCAAATTCTTTATGAAGAGCACGTAGTTTGATTGTCTTTGTAAGAGATGTTATAAGTGGGGCCCCTCAGCTTTTTTTTTTTTAAAACTTGCGCACATTCTTTTTATTGAGGGCAGAGGAAATATATTTTCACTCTGATTTTATTGGAGTTAGGTAGCATGGAGAATATTTGTTGCATTAAGAGCATTTTCTTATTTAGTTGAGTGGTCTGCTGCCTTTGGCTCTGTATTTAAGAAAATGCACTGTTTTTTGGGTGAAGAACATAACCGAGGAGGTACTTTGTACCTGAAAGCACTTCTACAAAGTGCTAGAGCTTGATTTATGGGGAGAATATCGGTTGGGGGATGATAAATATGTGGTGCAGACTCAATTTTGATCTCAGCAATCCAAACTGCACAATTTCTTTGCATCCAGGGTCACTCCGTAAGTATTATTTGTATATGCCAGTAGCTGGGAGACTGGTTTGCTTCTAAGTGCCGTTCAGGCATGTCCAGCATAACTAATGAACCAGGGGCTGATGAATCGAAGGACATTTTCTCAGGGGCTGTGTAGCTCCCAGGATATAACACTTGTGACATCCCCTGCTGTTGTGCAGGCATGTCCAGGCATCTCTGCTGCCCTGGTGGAGATGCCCAAGGAAGTCTATCAGCACACCGAGGAGGATTCTGGGAGGGCAGCCACTGAAGTAATGGGGAGCCAGGGGAAGAGACTGACTTGGGAGCAGTAAACTGATACTGTGTGAGCACGTGGGTACTGTCCACAGCCCAGTTGTGCTACAACAATGGGATAGGTTGCTGAGAGACCAAAGAAAGTACCCAAAGATAGTGTGCAAGTCCTAAGATTTATTGAAAAGTGCTTACAAGGAAGGTCAAATGGCAACAAGCTGGACAGACACCAGCCTGATCCCTCACAGCGCTTTGCTAAGAAATGCAGCATCCTATCCTTCATGATCTGAGCCCTGCATGCTGTTTGGGGCTTGCATTTGTCTCCGTGGCATAGATTTTTGCCCTCATAGCTGTGAGAAAAAGGCAGACTTGTCTAACCACACTACCAAACAGAGGACACAAATCATGCTGCCTAGGGGTCCCCGAGGAACTGTCCACGAGGGGAGTGTCCATTTCTCTTCCCTCCTCACTGTAGGCCACTGACCACTCTGGCTCTGGTAGGCAGCATGACTCTACCATCCTGGAGAATTCAGTTCATCAACTCTCACATCTCTTTTCCCTGTTCGGAAGAGAGCTTCAGGAGAGCAGGGGCCGTTTCTGTCTTGTTCCTTAGAGTCTCACCAGGACTTGGCACGTGCACACCTCACTGAGGAACTCACTCGCCGTGTTGTGGGAGGAATAATAACTGGCTGGAAGAATCAAGTAACGCTCCAGGCTGCACTGGGGGAGCCTAGCAGAGCTGGGGCGAATTGAGATGCATGTGTGCAAGTTGAAGGACTGAGCTGCCCGGGGCAGTTGCCTGATGGTTAACTGGCCTTGCCAAATGAGAGGAGAAAGTAAACTGGTACTTGTGTGAGCACGAGGGAACTGCCCACAGCCCATTTGTACTACGACAATGGGATAGGTTGCTGAGAGACAAAGAAAGTACCCCAAACAGTGTGCAAGACCTAAGGTGTGCTGAAAAATGCTTCCAGGGAAGGTCCCGTGGTGACAGGCTGGACAGACAGCAGCTTGGTCCCTCACAGCACTTTGCTAAGAAATGCAGCATCCTATCTTTCATGATGTTACTTCACAGAAAAGCATCTCCGACCCTCGTGATGCCTTGTGCAGTGGTGACCGGCTAGATGCCTGGCACACCCTCCCCACAGTGCCCTCAATTCTGCACCAGTTTCCATGGGGAGGTTTTATAGGTCAGGATACTAGTTTGCAGAAGCAGTGACCTCATTACCTTAGCCCACTGTGTCCCACCCTATGACCAGCTTCCCAAGGAACTTGGCCCATATGCAAGAAAACCGCTTTCAACAGGTAGCCTGACTTGCCCAAACCCCCAGCAGACGTGGCAGAGGCCAGTGTTCTTTGAGATGATATTTACCTGGACATTTCAGCCCAAAGTCACTCTCATGGTAACCTTGACTTGACTTGGGGTTAGAAGAGGCATTTCAGGGACGTATCATCCTCCTTTCCTCCAAGGAGGACAATAAGTATGTAAGTATTTCACATTTGTATTTGGTCCTTTTTAGCTTCTGTTATGTGACTTCAAGTACGTGGCAGCCTCTGAAGTCGAAAGAAGAGGGCTTCCCGTGGACATGTTGAAACCAGGGCTGTGTCACAGGTCCCCACCACTGAAGTCACCTAGGCACTTGCTGTTTGCTTCTCCTCCATGTCCCAGATTTCAAGTGGATCTTTCGATTGTCAGTTCATCTTCTAGCCTAGGGATCAGAAGACAGCGTCCGTCCTTTGGCCAGCTGTTCTTATGTCTCCAGGTGTCGCTCGGATGCTGCCTGCTCAGTCTTGCCTCGTCTTGCTGGTTTTCTTTTTCCTCTGGTTTCTCTTATCCATAGATTGTGTGATGTTTTGGTAGCTTTTCTGCTGCTGTGACTAAAAGACCTGACCAGAACAATTATAGAGGAGGAAAAGCTTATTTGGGGACTCAAGGTTTCAGAGGTCTCAGTCCAGAGACAGCTGGCTCCTTTCCTTGGGGCTTGAGGTGACATCAGGATAGAAGAACGTGGTGGATGGGAAGTGGCTCACATGATGATCAGAAAGCAGAGACCCCACTTACCAGATATGAAATAGATACCCCAAAGGCCATGCCCCAAATGACACGACCTCTCAAGCAACCCCCTACCCACCTTCAGTTGACACTCAATTAATGGTGTCGGGGATTAATTCACTGATTGGGTTAAGGCTCTCCGAACTCGATCATTTCACCTCTGAATGGTCTTGCATTTTCTCACACAGGAGCTTTTGGGGGGCACCTCATGTATGAACCATAACCCATGTCTTGGGGCCCCTTAAAACTTCACAGCCAAGTACGCTTTTAACACTTGAAATGAGGATGATTCACAGCTACAGATGAATCCCAAGACACAGGATGATGAAACTGGGCATGCACACAAGGAGGAGCATATTCATAATGAGGCCATTGCATCTCGTTTTCGTCAGAAACTTGAAAAGCTCCGAGGGATCAAAAGTTCTGTGTGATGTTTTTTTTTTTTTTTTTTTTCTGAGAGAAGATAACTGATTTGGCATTTGAGGACAAACTCTTGGGACTTAGTAGACAGTTGAAAACCAGAAGTACACACGATAACACTGATGGATGTTGCTAAGACAATGAGGTCAAGGTTAGCTTCGAACAAGCCCTCAGCATCTTGCTGTTTTCCCAGATCCTCTCCTGCTCTGCCATGTTCTGGGTCTTCATACATCACGTCCCCTTTGCCATTTCCTACTCATCCTTTTAGGCTTTGCTCCTAGGTGATGCCCCCCAGGTTGCCAGGCAGGGTTAGGTGTCCCCCATTCCCTATGCTTCTTTAGCACCCCTCAGTGTGCATCTGTATGGTAATATCTACCAAGACGTAAGACATGCGTTGGCAAATTATTCTGCAAAGGGCCAGATAGTAAGCGTTTTGGGTTTTGCTGGCCATATGGTCTCTGCTGCAACTATTCAACTTGGCTGTTATGGGCCGTAAGCAGTCATAGACAATATGTAAATGACTGTGTGTGGCTATGCGCCAATAAAATTTGATTATGGATGATGGAATTTGGGTTTCATATACACTTTTCATGAGCCACAAAAGATTCTTTTTTATTTATTTTTTCTCAAAAATTCAAAAACATAAAATACATTCTTAGCTTATAGGCAATATGAAGATAGACATGGGTCTGATCTGTGGGCTTCATTTGCCCAACCTTGACATGAAGCACTCCCTTGACTGCATGTCTGTCTCTTCCATTTGAATGGAAGCAAGTAGAAACCAGGGAGTGGAATCCCCAGGACAGAGCACAGTTCCTCTGACTAGGAAGAGCTCAACAAATACTTGCTACATCAATGCTTACACAGGAGTCTGAAGCAATAATACTCCCAGTATTTGTTGAGTACTTATTATAATGTCAGACATTGTGATGAACACTTTATATGCATTTTCTCACTTCATTTTGTTATCTAGGGACATTAAAAGCAACAATTATCATTCTACACCACTTAAACACAGCCTAGGTAGTATCTCATATAATCTTCTCATATAATCTGTGGTGGGTAGGTCCTGCCAATATTTTTCCAGTTAGGGAAATTACTCTTGCAGAGATTATTGATCCTGGGTTACTCAGCTAGGGATCGCATTGGGGTCAGAAAGATATCTAGGTCATTAGTCTTGAGGGTCCTGCCTTGTAACTTTCCTGCTGTGGAATCTCAGAGCCTGGATGCCTTCTTTGTGAACTGGAGAATGAGGCGTATACACTGGGATTATGCCGATGTTGAACTGGCAGAGTTCTTTTTCTCCTTCCAGCCATTTGGTTATGTTTGGAACTAGGACAACTTTTTTTCTAACTATGTGTGCTATGTCTGGAATGTTGCTTAACTTTCCTGAGTCTAAGTCTTCCAACTAGAGAACAACGAGTTTGAATTACCTGCTGTCAGAGGTCTCTTCTGATGATAAGTTTCTGTAATTTTGTTCTCTGATGCCTTCTGCTTATTTATTGCTATTGCTTGTCTCTGTTTTTCTCCCAACCCCTGGCTGTAGAAACTTTAGGTCTCACGGGGTTGCTTGAACTTGGAGGGGAAGAAAGAGAAGGAATCATACAAAGGAAATGTGCATCTACCCACACATGCATTTTTAAGTCTAAAAAAGTCTGTTAGGTATATTTGCTTTGCGGATTTTTGTTGTTGTTGCTGAAAGTTAGTTTTTCCAAGAAAA